GAACAGCTTTCTTTGAGATCGGTGGTGAGCACCAGCAGTTTCAATTGACTGCAAAATTCACACTTTTACTGTCATATGGTATTCAAAATGAATTAGTTTTGATCATTTAGTTTTCCCATGTGGAGAAGAAGAGGGTGAGCACCACATATCTTTGTGACTTTACTTATTTTATTTACTGTTAATAGATAATATATCTGTTATTCACTCTACTGACATGTACTAAAAGGCTGCACTTTGAGAAAGCAAATCAACTTCTGTAGCTCAGTATATAAATCATAATCTCTATACCAATGGTCACAGTGAAAGTTTCTGCATATTTTAATCCTGGAATGAAGAGCATTAGCTGTCAGCAGTATTTTGGTAACAAGTTCTACTTTAATCAGCGCTCTATTTCAGTATTTTCAGCATGTCATCTTGAAAATGGTCTTTGAAGCAATCTTAAAAATCACTTGCATTTTAAAGCTTTGCTTCTTGGAGCTCTGTTGTATTTTGAATCAGTTTTTTTTTCAAAACTAGTACTTGTCTTTCACAAGTACATCAGACAGGGAGAAATTTGTTGAATCTTACAGTATGAGTCGGGTTGTATATTGGTGAATAATTTTCTCCATAATCAAACAATATTTCATTATAAAGCTAACATACACTGTAAGATAGTATATTAGTCTGCTTCCTAAGTTGCACTGATGAGCTTTATATCTGTTGTATAGTAAAATTGTGTGTTATCAAATCTTCAATTCATTCTCTTTTAATGTTACTGATTTCAACTTCACTTTTATAAATATAGCTGTGGGAAGTATGAGAAGTTTGGAAAAGAAAACACCCTGGCACCATCACTTGTTACAAATAGCACACGGACTCACATGAGGTCAAATGCTTTGCATATCATATTCTTCACAAATTCCAACCTTCTGTATAGGATGCTTGCCATGACTACACACTCTCCTAAACATATTCAAAAGCCTACTGTATTGAAGGCAAGTATAATGATGAGCCGTTTTACACATTTATATTTGTTTTCTTGAAAATATTACAGATGTTTAGCCTCCTTCTCCTTATGTTGACATTATTACTAATTAAACTTTGAACTGTACCTAGTTGGATGTTTGCATATGGTTGTAAGTGGCAGTGATAGTGCTAAAATAATTCCACGCTGACTCAGCAAAGCACAATCCTATCATTTCTGCTTTCATAATTAACATCTTTATGATATATCAAGAAAATTATTCCCAAATATATTAATTTTTGGACTGTTATCACTTGTTTTACTAAGCAAATGTAGCAACCAATTTGCACACCGGTTCCAGTGTGAGGTTATCCATTTTGGTCAGAGGAGTGGAAAGGCAACTAATTATCTAAATGAAGAAAAACTTCAGGATGGTTCAGGCAGTTGGATCTGGATATCCTCATGAATTGCAAAAAATTAGTATGCAGGTGCGGCAGGTAATAAGGAAGGTAAATGGAATGTTGGCATTTATTATTAAAAGAACGGATATTAAAAATAGAGAAGTGTTGCTGCTACTGTACAAGGCATTGGTGAGACTATACCTGGAGTATTGTTTACAATTTTGGTCTCGTTATTTGAGGAGTGATATAGTTACATTGGAGGCATTTCAGAGGAGGTTCACTAGATTGATCCCAGAGATGAGGGTTTTGTCTTATGCAGAGCGATTGAACAGTTTAAGCCTATACTTTGTGGAGTTAGAAGAATGAGAGATCTGATTGATGTATATAGGATGCTAACTGGGATTGAGAAGCTAGCTGTAGAGAGAGGCAATCTTGAACAAGAGGTCATAATTTTAGGATAAGGGATAGCAGATTTAAAATAGAGATGAGGAGAAATTACTTCTCTGAAAGGGTCATGACTCTGTGGGATTGATTGCCCCAGAGTTTGGTAGATGCTGGGACACTGAATAAATTTAAGGAAGAGATAGATTTTAATCAGTAATCTCGTGAAGAGTTATGACGAGCAGGCAGGAAACTTGAATTGGGCTGAGATAAGATCAGCCATGATCATACTAAATGGTGGAGCAGGCTTAAGAGGCTGCATTGCCTTCTCCTGCTCCTAGTTCTTATGTTCTTATGAAGGCAATAAATGAAGAATGGTTCTTGACCTGAAGCACACACATTATTTCTCTCTGCATGGATGCTGCCAGACCTGCTTAGCATTTCTAGTATTTTCTGTTTTTATTGCAGATTTCCACCACCATTCTTTTGAAATGAAGAAGCTAATTTATTTGTTCTGGTGATTTTAGTTGTCCGGTGAATGTTGGCCCGCAAACATTTTTTTTGAAGTCCTGTCAGACAAGTTATAAACTTAATATCTCGTGTATAACATGGCATTTTCTGACAGAACAGCACTCATAGAATCCCTACAGTATAGAAGCAGGCCATTCAGCCCATTGTGTCTTCACCGACCCTCCGAAGAGTATCCCACCCAGACCCATCCCTTACCCTATCCCTGTTACCTTACATTCCTCATAGCTAATCTACCTAACCTGTACATCTTTGGACTGTGGGAGGAAACCCACGCAGACACAGGAGGAATGTGCAAACTCCACACAGACACTCGCCCAATGCTGGACTCAAATCCGGGCCCCTGGCGCTGTGAAGCAGCAGTACTAGCCACTGAGCCACTGTGCCGTCCCACTGTGCCACTCACTTAGTAATACTGCACTGAAATGTTAGCTTAGATATTGTGCTTAAGACTTGAAGTGGGGCTTGATAGAGAACGTTGTAGTTCAGACAAGAATGTTAGCAGAGAACCAAGCTGACATTCATTTCCAAATAATTGTTGCCTTCCAGTAAAGAGAAAACTTGTTAACAGGATGGCACGCAGTTAGGCAATAACACCCTTCATTTCAGGAAAGCTAAAAACTACAAAACTTTCAAAAAGTTCAAAATTAGACTTAAAAATTAATGCATGAAAGATGCTTAAATGGGTTAGGGTGGCAGGAAGAGACAAACAGCTTTACCTTGCTGGAAGATCGCAACATTAGTCTCTCACTAGTTGGTCCTTTGAATTAGGTAGGGCAGTTGTTTATAAGCAGTGAGAAGGTTGATGTTGTGTTTAAAAATAAATGTTTATAGTCAATCATTGTAAGTATGCATTCGTAGTATACTGTTTGAATTTTCCTTTAAGATAAACCGTTCCGAGAAATCAGCATACACAACTCACTTCACCCAGCTGTGCATAATCAACACTACTTTTTGGCAAGACACTACTATCTGCTAGGGCGAAATTACACTTGAGCTTGAATATTGACAAAGCAATTTTGGCTTTCCAGAATATTCCCCTTCCTTCAGCTGTTAGACTAAATACAACACAGTGCTACTCCACTTTTGGACTTGGCAACAGAAGATAATTTGAATTGAGTGTGACTTGTTGATTTTCGAGAAACAAGCATAGGTAAAAATTGAACTACTTAATGCAAATGCACATTGTTGCCTCTAAATTTTAATATGCTAATATGATGCAATTCACAATTCTGCAACAAAATTTTAAACACACTGAATACAAAATTGAAGTACATTCCTCGTTGATTTTTTCATTACATTTAAATGTTTTTGTGTGTTTAAATACTGTGAATACGTAGCAGATTTCTTCCGATGATCTATTTTAGCCCTTTACCACATCTATTTTACCTGCCATTCCCAAAAGGAAATTCAGTTGCCTTTCTTAAAAATGTGTCGGTAAAATTCATCCATAATTCTCAATTGAACAGCTAAGTTTGGCATCATATACTTGCACTTCTAATTTGTAAAAGAATTACAAAGCTCAAAGTGATTCAGTTGAATGAACATGAAATACCTGAGAAACACTCACAGTGGTTAACACTGAGGACTGAGCAATGGAGCCGAAGGAATGATCTACAGACCCTTAGTGACCTTTCAATACATTTGTGCATTTGAACTTGTATACTTTAAAAAAAAAAGTCATTAACAGCTTTGACAAGACAGCTACAAAGAAGTCTGGAAAGTAGCTTTCAAGTGAGTAAAAGAAAAATCAATGCAATATATCCCTTTATCGCTCTCTTTCCCCCTTCCCCTCTCCCCCTCCTCTCTCTCTCTCTTTCCCTACCCCACTCTCTCTCTCTCTCTCCCCTTCTCCCTCTCTTTTCCCACCCCTCTCTGGATTCCATCTCCACCCATCCACTCACTTCTTCCACCCGTCCATCACCATCCCCTGTTTCCAGCATATATACTACCTTTTCCTAGGTACTATCTTCTGAAGAAGGGTCACTGGACTCGAAATGTTAGTTCTGTTTTCTCTCCACGGATGCTGCCAGACTTGCTGAGTTTGTCCAGCAATTTCTGCTTTTGTAATATATCCTTTTTATTGACTTAACATTGTGATGCAGTTTTTGAAGTCCAGTCATTTGTTGTGTGGCAACCTTCTGTTTTTTATTCTTTCATGGCATGTGGGCATCGCTGGCTACACCAGCATTTGTTGACCATCATTAATTGTCTTTCTTAAGATGGTGGTGAACTGCCTTCTTGCACCCCTGCAGTCCATGTGCTATTGGTACACCCATAGGGCTACTGGGGAGTCCCAGTGACAGTGAAGGAACATCATATAGTACCAAGTCAGGAAGAATGATGTATCTTGGAGGAAACCGTGCATCTGGTGGTGTTTCCCTGATCTGTTGCTCTTGTTCTTAAAGGTGATAGAGTTTGCACGTTTGAGAAGTGTTGTTGAAGCGATGTGAGACTGTTTCTACCTTTTGTTGCCCTATTCACCCTGAGTTGAGTTTCAGTCCCAAGCTCTCTTCACTATGAAGACTGTCTATTTCCAATTCTGCTGATAATGAAAATCTGGCATGCAGCAAAAAGTTGTTGAGACATTCAGCAGATTATGCAGCATCTATCAAAAGAACCCAAGTCCATCAACTGCTGCATGGTTTTTTTGTTTGCTTAGTCTTGAATGAAAGTTCAGCCTTGCTATACAAGCTTTGACAATCTTAATGAGCAACTATTTATTTGTGTCTGTTGGTCCTCTCCAGGTTGAACTAAAACGGAAATATAATGACCAGCATTCGCGAACACGTGGTTTGCTTCCTGGTAGTCAGTGGTATGAAATTCAGGCATTTCGAGCACTGAATCAAGCCCTGGGCAGGTAAAAGTTCATAAGTCAAAGAAATTCCCCAATCTTACAGGCTTTTGTGGTGGAGGCAGTGATGTTCTGGGGGTTCTAGTCTGTTAAATGAATCTAGTTTCTAGAAGAGGAACTCTAACAAAACTCCTGTGAGGCAATAAATTGGACTTGGTAGAGCATGTACTTGATAGAACAGCTTTGTAATAGGCTATTTGATGATTTTGTATCAAATGTACAATATAGATAATAAATTTGTACCAACATCTGTATTTTGATTGATTATGGTGTTGAAGCTCAAGAAATTATGCCAAAACTTTGAACGGAGTGCTAGCCAGCCTATGTGAACAATCTGTGGTTTGCAAAATTATCCTGGTACCTATGTAACTATTGCAAACTAATTTATACTATACAAGAAATGCACTGCATAGGTAAATTTTCCAGGATAAGTTCCCATAGAATAAATTTTTCACCTGGCTACATTTTTCTTCAAACAAATCACTTGTTGCTGAGGTGCATATAGGTGATTTGTTTCCAGCTCTCTTCACTACTCCTAAGATTGTAATTGGGAGTACTGCAAAGCATTTGCCCACTAATTTTCAACCTGATTAAGAGGATTTCTGATTAGAATAATTTTCAATAGTGCTGCAGCAAATTCAAAGTGAATCAAGTAGTAATGGTGTCCATGAGGCAATCAACTGGAATCCTTTTGAAATTGTGGGTTAAGTAACTATCAGTTTCTGCAGTGAATCAAAGGCCAAAGTATTCCTAAAGGAAGATTAAAATAATTAATGAATTCAAGTAATTTGAGCCTTTGAAAGTTTCATAGCTTCAAAAGTGTGTTCATTCTATTTGAAATAATTGTATCCAATTTGGTAGTGTTTTGATCACTCTTTCCAAATTGCTTTTTCCATATTTTGATTCATTTGCATATACCTTCTTCCTGCCTTAAGAGGAAGTGTTGTGTAATCTGCAGTGTGCTCTGTAAGGTAGAATTTGCCTCCTTTCAGTGGAAAACTAGTAGTGCTCAACTAACAGGCGTAAGCATCCATATCTATAAATAGTTGTTTGTTAGTGTAAAACTTGAGTATTGCGGAAAGAAAGGACACATTTTGCCAAAGACTTCACCTTGTACTCATTTATACAATTGCAAGGATACCAATTCAAGGATTGAGGGAATTCAGCTCGTTTCATTTGTCCACAAACATTTGACACTAATTGGGCTGTGTCTGTGAATCATATCAGAGCCACAGTATAGTTAAGGCAGTTTGATAATGCGCATCATGCCCTTCCGAAACCATGATGTTCATTAGGTTCTGGCATATTGCAATATCTCCAGTTGCTTTATTCAAGATGACAAAAATTCAGCTCCACTTTAATGTTAGTGCTGAAAAGGCCAATGGGGTTGGAGGTGATTACCCATCTTTTGGATGATTCCATCCCATATGCAACTTTACATACAACCTAGCAGAAACAAAAGAGAAAACCATGGGGCAAGTTCAGGAGCCCTAAAAAAAAAACTCTCTGGTTGATCAGCCGACCCAAAAAGTATTTAACTGATGAGGTACTGTTGTTTTCCAGGGTGATCTGCTCTTAGTTTTCATGTGTGATCATCCCTTTTGTAGAATAATATCTGTATCACCTCATTGAATTAGTGTAAGGAAAAATTCTGTGCAGCTACTTATAGGATTGTCTTCCACAAGGTCATCACCTTAGGAAACGTAAAGCTTATGACTGTTAATCATACTCAGGATCAGAAATAGATGAATATTACTGTCTATGTTAAAAACTAGAAGTATTATATATAATGGAGTAGTGTGTCTTTTATCAAAAGAAGCAGCATTTTATAATTATGTTCATTCACTTAGGTGTATTCGACATAGGAATGACTGGGGAGCACTGATCCTAGTTGATGACAGATTTGGAAATAACACCAAAAGATATATAACTGGTAAGGTACTATTGCCAAGTCCTTTAATATTTTTGTTATTAAACTAATTAGAATTTGGTGAGCTCTGAATTTCTTTAGAGCCTATTCAAGCTGAGTGGGATGGTTATGTTCTGTATAACATACAGCAAATGATCAAAGTTATCGTTTTGATAGTGTGCTATTGGTAGAGGTTATGGAAGATACTGTTCTTCAGATGCTGTGGAAGTTATGAATTATTTCTTACAATGTCATATCCTGTTCATTTTTTTAGGCTATTGATTTTTTGTTAGTGATATTTCTACTTCATGTTTCATCCTCGGCAGATAAGGCAGAGATGAGCACTTTGCTCATCGGTTTCTGCCAACGCCATATTGAAACAGGATGAAGGTTTTCTTTACACCCACCTCCTATCAGTGGATAGCTGGCTGGCCAACAACTATTCTCAGTTAGGATTAAGCTAAGAAGATATGTTTTCATTCAAGAGGTTGTGAATCTTTGCAATTTATCAATTATATTTAAAACAAGATTTTTGGATCGAAGGAAACTAAGGGATATAAAAATATTTGGCAGGAAAGTTGTACCAAAGTAGCATATACAGTCATGATCTTTTTGAATGGTGGAGCAAACCTGAGCAACTGTCTTGACCAACACCTGCTCCTCTTTATTATGAAACTATCAGCTAGAAGGAGAATGAGTTCCCCTTTGTTTTGCTTTTCCCCTTACAGGAATTCAGGAGCTGTCTACTTCATGACTGCTGTGTGGTAGCTGATTTGAAGTCAGAAGTTGTTGTTCACAGAACCTAATCTCACATTTGTGTATCACCACTCTATGATCCAGTGCATTAGATCAATGCTCTAAAATATTTGTATACTACCCTATTTTGTAACAGAAATAAATACAGATGGTGCAACACATTAAAGCATCAATTTGTTAGAATATGCAGTATTCAGAATTCAGAGTGCAGATTCAGAACCAGAAATTTATATACATTAAGTCTTACTGTTGAGATGATAAGGAGGTCATCAGGGATGGAGTGCGTTAACCAAATCATTTCGAGCTGTTTTCAGGTTTGTTATTCATGGCTTGGAAATATTTGGTATTGTTTTACTATATCATCAGATGAGTTTGAGATAGAGATTTGTGAACATGGCTTTTCAAGACACAAAGCTGAATTCTTTTGTACTGTTCTATATGTGTATTAACTCAAGTCACTGGGCCTCTGTGTTTCATCATGAACATAATTTAAAATATGATATCAGTGTTATAGATACTTTTCCACGATAGCCTATTTTTTCAAGTTGGCAATTTCTCAAAATTAAAAAAAGTACTCTACATAGTGAGTTGCTAATCTTGTATGAAATTGAATATCTGAATCTGCTTAACTTGCTCAATTGTTCCTCCGGAGAAATTACAGAAATTTACAGGCATTGTGAAGGAAGGTGATTGCTGCTGGATTAGTTAGATAAGTTGTGTGGGTTGGTAGAATATTGAGCAAAAAATAGAATATTTGTTTAAATTGATAAAATAAAGCATTCTTTTATTTTTCCAACATTGAAATTGCTGGATCAAATGGATAACTTGCTCTAAAATGTTGCATAAAAATTCTGGATGTAAAATTACTGCCCTTTTGTCACTGGATGGTGCTATAACTCTGTTTTGGCATTCAGATATTGAAGATAATGCAAAACAGCTGCTTGAGATATGACTGGGCTATAAAAATTTTATTTGCATCAGATTCTTAAGTAATGCTGCTGTGTCTTGCCAATACAGCAGAATTTAGCTAAAAACACAGAGTTATGCAGCGTGTGTTATACTTCAATTTTGCCACATTAACCTTTTTCTGTGCTGAATAATGTTGTGTGATTAACAGAGCAAATGGAATGATCTAATGCTTTAAGAGTTAAGGAAAAGAGTTAAGTTCCTAGTGTGCCCATGAGTGTTTCACTTGTAAAACTTTATAGAGCACATGAGCACCTGTAAATTTTTAGAGGGTACATTCAAGTGAAGTGTTATGATTTTTAGAATTCCATACATTTGAAATACAGTCAACAGGAAAAGTTGCTCAAATGCAAAGGGGGAGCTGGGAGATTGAACAATTTTACAAAAGGTTTGTTAGGCCACTATTCTTGTTTCTGAATTTATTTTCTCACCTTATTTATGCCCTTCTTTAAGCACCATGCATATTTCCTAAACTACTTCCAATGTGCTTGTGAGTCAGTCAGTGACCTCCTACTTGCCTTCTACCCCCTCCATGTGAGAATATGTAAAAGTAAATCTCTCTTCACTGTTCCAACAAAATGTCTTGGCTTCAGCTTCAAAAAGCACCCCATAATACACAAGTGTGTTGTATTCATTTCCTACACCACATTTTCTTGAGGGCTTTCTGAGTTAACTACCAATTAGCGCTGAATAATAGGCCTTTTTATGCAATGGATTTGAGCACTAAGAACCTCAGCTCAATTCAGTTAGAACCTTTCAAGAAAGATTTTCATTCCATTAGTAAGGCTGAAGTCCCAGCCTGAATTTGAAAGGTAAAAGGGCAGTGTTTAAAGCCCACAGCACCTGGATGCATGATTTCAAGGGTTCATCTCGTACTCAGATTTGGGAATTAAACAAACATTATTCCTTGGCTATATCACCATTCATCAACTCTTGGGAAGCTGCATTTGACATAAAATTCACGTGTAGCTCTGCTTAAAAGAAAGGATGAATTACAACTGTGACACTCCAAATAGATAAATAAACTCCAACACTTGCTTGAGTCTGGATAATGACCACTTAGGTGAAGAATCAAGGGGACAACCATTGCTGTTGAATTGAATACTAATAAGCACAATGTCATCAGAATGGTAAGGAAGAAAATTTTTAAGAAATGAATGGGATGGATTAAATGTTTAGAAGTCACTTGATGAAATGATGTGTTGTTTGATAGTACAGAACTTGGACATTGCTGAAAAAAGGCATATTTTTGTGCTGTCACTTTTGTTTTTCAATCATCAGGACAATTCACAAGAATACCAATTCAAGGAGAAGATCAATATTTATATTGCTTTGGAAGAATGCTGAAAGGTTAACAAGTAGACTTTGATTGGTGGAGGTGTTGCTGTGGACAATGCACCAATTAATGATGATTGTCTATTAATGCCAATTTTTGTTTAAATTCTCTATCAGGCAGTTTGAGAAATTGCCCTGAGAAATGAACCAACAAATCTCTTGTCACCAATTTTGTTGAGTTGAAACATTACCATGTGTGTACATGTTATTTTTGTCTGCAAAGAATAGGCCTGTGCATTAATATATGTAGCTTCCTGTGTCTTGTCATTGTTGGTTGTCATCTTAATTCTTCACATCCTCGTGATTATCCAGCAAATTTCCAGTTGCAGCTAATGTTGGATATTGTGTAGTATGTTTTACAAGCGTGAGCTGCTTAAATGTAGTGAGGACCTTGATTGTTGTGAAAAGCCAAAAGGAAATGCTGTTTTGGTAAATGTTGGTAAGATCTGGCAGTCTTTGGGACATAAAGCCTACATACCTGGCATCACACCAGCAGTGAAGTTTGTATGATGCTAGGATATGTGCTGAACATCCTGAAGACTGGTCAATTGTATCGAATTGCAAATCTCTTCGGCTGTTTGCAACATGAAAGATATTGACTATACCCAAGCGGTTAGCACATTGAAAAATCACAACAGAGTGTTTAATATTAGATGGGATTCTGCAATAGGTCAGCATTTGCTGGATAGTGCTGAGTGTACAAAGAATTATGCTGGCAACCAATTTTGGATTATCTGTTGGCCTCACCGTGTAGCTCATTTGTGTGTATTGAAGCTACATATATTAATATTACAGGGGCCTGTTCTTTGCAGATAGAAAGAAGATGTACATGCACTGTGTCAGTTTACCTCAACAAAATAGGTTCATTTCTCCAGGCAATGCCTTAACCAATCAGAGTCAACCTGCACAGTGTAAAATTTAAACAATGCCTGGCTATTAACTGTTATTCACCATTAATTGTCGCATTCTCCAAAGTAACACTTCTACCTATCAGAGCCTACTTGTCAACCAATCAGTACTCACCTCTCGTGCAGTATAATTGTTGGTTTTCCCCTTGAATTAACATTATTGTGAATTGTCCTGATGAGTTGAAAAACTTTGTTGAAATGTGCCTTGTTTTCAGCAATGCCCAAAGAAATAAATAGCACTGCGTGTGGGCTTAGGGGGAGAAAGGGGACACAAACTGATGTAACAAATAATACTTCCATGATTGTAAGTCTGTGTAAAAGAAACGGTAGTGCTTCATTAAAGAGTTTAAAGAATTACTTGGACAGTGAACCCTCCTACCTGCCTCCCTACTGAGAGTGGCTGATGTACCACAGCTCAGAATTGTAGTCTGGTGCATTATAGGACTCCTTAATAGAGCACTACAACACAAAGTGCATGACCGTCAAGACGTCTATTGGGGATGCCTGTGATGCTAAAATAGAGGGAAATATAGATGTTCACTGCCTGTGTATTGCAGTTGGCTAAGTCACTGCACACCTCTTTACTCAAGGTGGCAAGTGTCAGTTACAGCTTTCTGGAGGAGCCAGAGCCTTGTTTTGCAGTGCACCTTAATTATTTCCAGATAATGGATGCTGTTGTTCAAATTTGCTAACTATTGTGGTTGTGTACCTCCTCTGTGCTGAGTTTTCAGGCTGACCACTGTTTCTTCCCTCACTCTCTCCTTCCAGACGAACCTGTTTTACTCTCACTCCATTGTGTTTCTGTGCTGATCTCTCCTCTTCCTTATCAATTGTAGCATATTTATTTACATTTACTGCACCAGTGCTGTATGCCTGGAAGTTCATTCATGTTCATTTCTATTACTCCTGTGGCAGTGTTGATCGTTTTCATCTTTTCTCATTTCCACCTTGGTAAACATTGCCAGATTCACCTTGTGTCTCAGCTCATCAGCTGCTGAATGCATCAGTAATACTCATGTTACTTCTTGACTTGACCATTCCCCCCGGCCTGCCGCAGTCTACTGTTCATAAACTTGAGGACATCCAAACTTTTCCTGCCCTTGCTTTAACTTGCTCAGTCCTGTTCATCTAATACCTTTGTGTTTGTTGGTCTGTATTTGCTCCCATTTAGCCAAAGTCTTGATTTTAAAGTTCTCATCTCTGTTTTCAAATTCCTACGCTGCCTTTTCCCCCTCCTTGTCTCTGCAATCTTCTCCAGCCTTACAATTTTCCAAGATATCTGAGCACATGTAACAATGGTCTCTTGTTCATCCTCAGTTTTTATCTTGCCATTGTACCTCCTGCTGCCTATACCATAAGCTCTGGAAATCCATCTCTACTTCCTTAAAATATCACAAGCATGCCCTGTACATATCAAAAATATACAGTGGGTAAGAGAAGATTAGTGGTCATTCCATCAAAAATGTACTTTTCATGGTAACCAACAAAGATGTTAACACTGGACCTAGAAGGGATCCTATGTCACACCATCTATTTGGGTGTACATGGTATCATTGAAACTGAACTCAACTGCACAAGTTGCTCAGTTCATGAATTAAATGACACAGGTTCAAACATGGTGATGCATCTAGATTGACGTGATATAGTGACATGGTGTAAATGTCAGTGGCTTCTTTGAGTGGTATGTTGGTAAATAAACTAACAATGTTGAAAGAAAACATGCTGCTGCTTTCAGTTTGTGGGATCTTGTGTGGTCTTCATGTATGTGAAATCCACAGCTGCATCATGGAATTTCTTTATACAGCTTAATAAATTCGATGTAGGAACAAATTACTGCAGATGCTGGAATCGATACTGAAAACAAAAAAATAGAGGTGATCACAGGGAATCAGACAGCATCCATGGAGAGAGAGCAAGTTAATGTTTCAAGTCTAGATGACTTCATCAGAGCTGGAGGGGACAGCATTTATGCTATAGTTTGGAGGGGGTGTGTTTGTGGAGAAGAGATGTTGATAGTTCAGATTAAGTGATCAGAATGTGAGAATGGCAGAACAATGGTGTGTCTCCTGCCAGACTTGAAAGGACAGTAACTAGGATGGAGTGAGGGGAGGACATGATAACAAGCTAAAAGAAAAGGAAGCAATGATTCACAATTTAAAGGTGTTGAACTCAATATTAAGTCCAGAAAGCTGTAAAGTGCTTGATCTGAAAACGAGATGTTGTTACTCCAGTTTGTGCTGTGATTCACTGGAACACTGCAGTATGCTGAGGACAGACATATGGGCATGCGAGCAGGACAGTGTATTAAAATGACCAGCTACAAGAAGGTCGGGATCTTGCTTATGCACAGACCGAAGATGTTCCGCGAAGTGGTCATCCAGTCTGTGTTTGGTTTCTCCAATGTAGGTCAGGTCACATTGGGTGCAGTGAATACAGTACCCAAGATGGGAGGAGGTACAGGTGAAATACTACTTCACCTGGAAAGACTGTTTAGGCCCTTGGATGGTGAGCAGGAGGAGGTGAAGGGGCAGGTGTTGCACCTTCTGCAGTTACATGGGAGGGTGCCATGGAGAGGAGGGATGGTTTTGGTGGTTGTAAAATGGACTGGGGTGTTCCAGAGGGAACGATCCCTGCAAAATGCAGATGGGGGAGTGAGGGAAAGATGTGTTTGGTGGTGGCATTCTGCTGGAGTTGTCTGAAATGGCGGAGAATGATCCTTTGAATGCGGAAACCGGTGGGATGAAAAGTGAGGACAATGGGAACCTGATCACGCTGTTGTGAGTGATGGAAAGGAGCAGGGGTGAAAGCACAAGTGATGGGTCAGATGTGGTTGAGGGCCCTGTCAACCACAGTGGGTGGGAAACCACGGCCATGGAAGAAGCAAGCCATGTCAGCAGCGCTGTTTTGGAAGGTGGCATCATCCGAACAGATGTAATGTAGGCGAAGGAACTGGGAGAATGGGCTGGAGTCTTTGTAGTCCACTGACTCCCATAGCTACCTTCACTACAGCTCGTCACACCCCACATCCCAGTAAAAGCCTGTATTCACTGGTCAATGTGCACATTGGGATTCCTACAATCCTATGCACTACAAGATCAATCTTACTGGCTGCCTCATGAGTAGTGCCCTAGCCATCTGCTGATCATGTAAACTTGATGCTGTGACAAGGCATTTCAAAACTGTCCTGCATGATTTGGATTCCATGATCAAATCATTACTTGGTGTATATTGTGAAAATTCTTGAATTTGTCCACTACTTTTAACCCTGAGTGGTGCCCATTCTTCCTCAAGTTACCTGGAAGGGTGTGATTGTTTCAGAGGTTTGAGCAGTGGATAAAGCTGGCTGTATAACTCCACTTCTATGTGGTAAATCCAAAATGGTTTTCTCCACCAACAGAATGTTGTCATTAAGCCAAAAAGATATTCTGCCTATCTCAGAAATGTGATGAGTTTCAATGCCAATGTGATGCCAGGTAAGTAGGCCATATATCTCAATGACTGGCAGACCATATCAAACAACACATCCCGGTAACCATTTACAGTGAGCATCATGCTGGTTTTCTGCTCAACCGGACCATACTTGCAAACTTTTAAAAAGTACGTCCATGATTAAATGTGGTTCTGCTATTGAAAATTGCTTATTAAACAATTCAGACCATGCTAACAATTACACTGGAAAGCAATTGGATTGTCAGTTGGACTTGGAATGTGAGTATTTGCATGTGCTAGAAGCTACATACATAAATTGGACTTTATGTAGGTAAAAGGAATTTGTACCTACATCTAACCTTTTGCAAAAGAAAATATTTGGGTGGGAAGCTGTTTGGAAGGTCAGTTCCGACTCAATGGGCCAAGTGGCCTCTGGCTGCACTGTAAGATTCTATGATTCTGTGTTTAAGATTTGTACTAATTTATTCAACTCTCTGTAGGATTCTAGAAGTACGTTTCAGTAATGTGCTAAAATTGAAAGAAAAGAAAATCCCAAATAATAATGTTTTGTTTTAAACTGAATTGTTTTCACAAATTTCTTCACAAACATCACTTTTTTGATTTATATCAAAGGGGCCAGTTAGCTCAGTTGGTTGACTGATTGGTTTGCCGTGCAGATTGATGCCAACGGCTTGGTTTCAATTCCCGCATCAGCTGAGGTTATTGTGAATGACTCTCCTTCTCAACCTCACCCATCGACTGAGGCATGGTTACCCTTAAGTTAAATTACCATCAGTCATCTCTGTCTAATGAGGGAGCAACCCCTTTGGTCTGGTCGGACTATGGTGTCTTCACATTTATTAAGGATGACTTCATAAAATCTATAAACCATTTTAAAATGTTTTACCCTGTTTTAAATGCTGTTTTTCTCATTCTATTTTGATTTTCATTTGTTCCAACTTTATATTTAATTATAGGTTTGTCAAAGTGGATCCGTCAGCAAGTACAACACCATTCAAATTTCAACAATGCATTGGATTCATTATGCACGTTTGCCAATGATCACCAGAAGGATGTTGATCATTTACCCAAGATCTGCAAAAGAGTAGACGTACACACCAATAATAAAGACGATCAATCACAGATCATCAGCCCACAACCCTTGGAAAATGATAATCTGACATGCAATGCACCAAATGCTACGACAGAAAGCCAGAAAACTAATCCTAATGTCAACCTTATACCTCCCTACTGTGATACTAGTAAAATGAGCACTACAGAAATGCCTGGTTAGTATTGGATGTCATTTATTTCTACAAGTAACTTAATTGTTTAGTGTGACCTCTGAGAAAAATGTATAGAGCTTATTAATAAAGCACAAAAATGTTGAAATTGTCAGCAGATCTAGCAGAATCCATACAGAGAAATAGGGTTAATATTTCAGGTCTGTGACCATCCATCAGTTCCAATTTTATTTCCAAATTCCAGCATATTTTGCTCTAGTAAAGACTTTTAATATTAGGGAAGAGGGAATTTTATGTATTTTAGAAGAGGGACAGCAGTGAACTGATTTTTGTCCTCACTTTGTATTAAAATGGTGTGTACCTTTTGCCAGTTAGGTGTCACTCAATAACGATAATAGGTTTATCCACTGTTATGGCAAAATTCCTCAGTTCCTAACTTCAGAGAGTATCACCTCTATCATCAATTTTATATTTTCATCCTTTAACCCAGCTGAATAAGAGCGCTAGAGGATTGTTAAGTAAAATTGGATTTGTGTTAATTTTACCCTTTAAAAATAATTTAATATCGAGAATTAGATGGCAAGACTTGTTTTTGATTTTCTTGAGTAAGTGTGTCAGCCCTGGGATGGTATTATTTGTAGGATGCAGAAATCTGTTCCATATCACTTCAGATGCTAAAGTATTTTTTCGTGGATTTAAGGAAGTTGCATATTAATTTGCATACAATTAATATCTGAACATGAAATAGCTCAGCTGACATTTTGCTTTGTCCAGAAATTAACTGTTGCTAAGAGACATGCTGTTGAACCATTTTGTCTTGTATATTTCTTTCCGTGCATCTGCTGTCCTGGTGAGTGCTCTCTGAAAACCTTTGACAACATATCCTTTTTCAGAAATACCTTCCCTTTCGATCTTTCCATTCTCCACTCTTTCACTTGCTCGAAACCTATATTTCTAATATTTATTGGTTCTGATGAAAGGTCACAGACTGAAATATTAGTTTTGTTTCTCTCCAAAAAGTTGGCCAAACCAGATGTGGTTTTTCTGCTTTTATTTTAGATTTACACCTTCTACAGTACTTTGCTTTTGTCTCAATATCTTAACCTGGGCCAGCATTTATTGTCCATCCCTAGTTGCCCTTGAGAAGGTGGTGGTGAGCTTACCAGTTTTATCAGTAATTTGATAATAGCTCTATTTTGAGAGTTCAGTACCACACTGGTGATTGGAAGACTTAAATAAATTTTAAAGGAATATTCACAGTAATCATGACCTGAGTTGTTGATCTATACTCACACGCAGAGAAAAAAGTTTTGACTATGCTTTTAAGGTCATTTTTTTGTGCAGTAGATTTTGTATAACTGTGAAAAGTGAATGTAACATGAAATTGTTGAGATAAAAGTATGCTGTACTGGCATTTAATGACTCTTAATAATTATTGGCATGTCTTACAGATAACAAAGAAACACACTCTACAACCATAACTACCAAGACTCCGCTCTTCAAAAATACCAGTATCATGGAGAAAAATTCTAAAAATGATGACAGTAAAGACAAGCAAGGATCTATCATGCAGTATTTTAAAAAAAGGCCTCTGACATCAACACCAATCCGAACACCATTGATACAGTCACAGATTGCACCTGTTCAGTTGGGGCAAGATGATTATGCGAAGAACATTAGACACACAGAGCAAAAAACAGAAATGACTTCATTTCAGTTTGAGAATGTGTTATCGAAAGACGCTTCTACATCAATAAGCATCAGAGAGGATTTATTATTAAATATGGTAAAACATGAATTACAGGATAATAGAGAAAAACAAACTGCTTATGACAGTGCAGGAAATTCTTATAACAGCTCCATGGCTGGATCACCCTTCCCTGTTGTGGGGTTGTTAAACAAGGATGATGTAGAGGTAATGGGAACACCATCCTTACTAGATACTAATATGCAACAGCAGGTAGAAGAAGATGATGTTAACGAAGATGAGACATGGTATTTTACCCCTGAACTTTTTGACAAGGATCCAGAGGATAAACGTTTCAAAACAGCAGAGAGGGATAATTCACCAGATATTGCTAAAGATGACGATATCTGTGATTTTCCTGCTGTACCTGTGAACAAAGGTTCTGAATCTGTGAAAATACTGCAGAATATAAATCGAGATCCACTCTACTTTGATGGGCTGACAAAATATAATGAAAATAAAATGCACTGTGGCTTTGAACAGAGTGAAAATAATCTCACCAGTTTGTGTTCCAACTTAGTAGTGAAAGACAAAATTGTGCCTAAGTTAACAACACTGATAGATGAGGAGGAGGATGGCGCCATTAAAGGACTTCAGCACTTTGGTGAGCTGGCAAAGACTGACAAAGTAACAAGGAACAGAAATCATAGACTGTCCAGATCTAGAAATAAAGGTATAAGCTTAATAAGTGATAATGTCTGTGCACAAGACCTCAGCTTCCCTGCAGACAATAACTAATATCAAACTGATATCTGTATTATTCTATCGAATTGACTCATTCTGATTTAACAATATGTGTTTAGCAATAAGCCAAGCTATTTAATATGCTCTCTTCTTCTGTAGTTTTTCGTTTAGGTTTTGTTTCTGATGAGGAGTGTTCATGTTGGGGAATTGAACATCTTGTGTAGCATCAGGTATAGAAATGGGAGAGGAGGAACATTTCCACTTAATTCTAGCAATATGCTACAGTCCAAATTTTTGAAGTGAATTTTCTGCGCTTTAATTTTAATTTTTTTGTTTGCTACTTTATATGAATCTCACTATGCATATGAGGATCAATTAATCTCAAATTTAATGTGATTTTATGCCATGGACCAATGCCAACTATGAACTGAGATTCCTGTAACTCGTTTCACATTGCACTTGCAGAGATACTAAGCAAAAGGATTAGGTAGATATAAATCCAAGCTATATAAGAACAATAGATTTAAGTGCCTTTTAAATGAAAATTAATCGTAGCGGAATTACGTTAGATTCTATTATGCTTTTGTTACAATGTGATGTTACTTAAGTTAGTGAGTAACATCCCAATGTGCTGAAGACATCTGGTGGCCGTTATATAATATTATGTAGTTGTGCAAAGCATGTTTACTAAGAAATTGTGTTAGTAAGTTATTCATCTGTGGGCTAGAGATGTGGAAATTAAACCTTAAACTATCCACTGACTGAAGTAGACAACTGATAATTAGATTTAATCAAAGCAAGTAAACTTTGTCTTTTACACTACAGTAGGTGGAAATAATGTTAACGTTTATTCTTAACCCATCCTAATGCCAAAGTTATTGGCAATGAGCATTGGCAAATACTGGCTAGACTCTAATTTGCAATAACATTTTTGAACAATTTTTAATGAACTGTATTACTGTCATTTTGTTTTGGCACATTTGTGGGGACTTTTTTTTCGCAGAACTGAATGACACCAGAGTCTTTGACATTAATAATCCATAGTTTATGTAGCTGTATTCTTTAAAGGCTAAGTGTTTTCATGGAATAGCCTACTTCTGTGTATGCTGTTCCATAAATAGTTTAATTTTAAAATAACTTAAATGTTAGTTAGGAAGCAAAAATCTTTGTGAACCTAACATTGGGCCCTATATCATGTGCTCTGGTCCTCTTAGAATCGCGTTAATCTTGAAAGTCAGTGAAGTAGAAATTAGTTTTGGGCGGAGGCACAAACATAAAATTGGATCACTGACTGATTTAGATTCAATGGAACTGAATATGTATGTGATAAACTGCTAAATGATATCCTCCACTTTGCAACACTACCCAACAACCTTCCAAATTACAATCTGTTCCTATATCGTTACGTAGATTTTAAAAATAATTTCTTAGCTGTGTTAGATATAATTTCTGTTAATGATTTCGCTGATTTTCATTTTTAATAATGAACCTATACAACCTGAAATATAGATCTCTAGGTGCCATGTAATGAATCATATTAAGGGCAGAATGAAAAAGAGAGTAGAACTTTCCCACAGAATGTCTGTCTTCCTCTTTCATGAGATTGTTACTTCATATGTAAGGAGTGTAATTTGGAGGTCCGGAGAAGCTGCTTTTCACAGTCAAGTAACTGTGACACATTTGTATCAGAAGCTGTAAGTTAAATTCTCTTTGTAAAAATAAAATATTTCAGTTGGCCATTAAAGAAAATTTGTTAAACTTACTTGTTTTAATTGCAAATGCAAACTGTATTCTGTGTTTTGAAAATTTTTATTGATTTAATGTTCTGTTTACAATAATAAATACAAAGCAGGTACATTTTTTCTCAGGAGGGATTCTTGTGACTAAATTTCATAGCCGGAATTCATTGTCAAAATGGACCGATTATTATATTTTTGGCTTAGGATTTTATGAAATATGTTAAAATGTAATCCTTGGATGTCGTGATTATATAGTTGGCATAATGTGAAGAAAATCTCTTGAGCTGGTAGCTTTCCAATTTAAGAGCCATTTGGCAAAGTGATGGTTCTCAGTTGACTTCACTGATTTTTTGTTGCATTGCCTGTGGAGCAATGATATTTGAACATTTTATGCATCAAATCTATAGTGATTTATTTCTTAAGGACAAGGTTCTGCCTCTTTTTTAAATAATAATTTATTTGCCTTTCATAGTTTTTCCATACTATGCATAAATCCCACTGAGAAAGTGATTTTTTCCCCAATTCCCTTTGAAACCACCGGGAAGTGTAAGAAAGGGCTCAAAGGTGACTTTGACTTCATTTTTTTTCCTTATATATTTTGAAATCAACCTGTTCAGAGATGTTATTACCCACCTCTGGCACAGGTGGAATTTGAATCTGGGTCTTCACCACAGGAGCCGTTGATTCTGTTTGTTTTCCTTTCTCTCTGTTTGGAGCTTCATTATGGTGGTATAACTAAGAAAATTGATTTATTGGGAGTCATGGGACAAAGCTCCATGTTGTAATACATTGAGGCTCCAATGGGCTGTATCACATGGTTGCTGTTTTAAAGTTTCAATACTATTTTTAAATGTTACTCTTGGAGACCATTGTATCTAATTTAATCTTAAATTGGTTAATTGTACTAATACAAATTTGCTTTGTTATATGTTCTTGTATTTTCTATTTTTGTCTTTCATATTTCTTCTTAGAAATTGCATTTGATGGGATCTCACTGAAGCTCTTTCACACTGTTCAAATGCCCTAGCTTTCATGAAGGGGAGGGGAGAGAAACAGGGGATTAAATTTCCCCCAAATATATACCAAAGTAGTCATTTTCAAGAAGCAATGTAGTTAATCAGCTGAAAGTGAAACTACCATTTGTGCTGATGGTTATTTTGGAAGTCTAAGCCACTTCTCCACCACTGATTTTTTTACCCACTTTGAGGGAAGTGGTAATAAGCATTTTGCATTTGAATTTTAGACAAATTTGTGCTTTGAACTGTCAGCCCTACATTACAAATATTGACCAAGAGAGCTCTGATTTTTGCTTTCTTGTAATATCATGTGTTCTGATACAGTATACAGTATTTCTGACTTCACTTCAGAGGATCCAAGAATAACTAAAATCATGAGTTGGAAGGGAAGGACAAAGATGGTGAAATTACAACCATAAGGGATGCAGCACCAAGCAAACTGATGGCACTGGAGGCTGCCAACTCTCCAAGTCCAAATGGACTCCATTAATGTTTTTAAAGGTGGTTAATGGGCAAGTAGATGCCTTGGTGCAAACTTGCCAAAATGCCATCAGTTCATGAAAGGTTCCTTCAGACTAGAAAGTAGCAGGTATAACACCTCTATTCAGGAACGGAGGGAGGCAGAAAGCAGAAAACTGTAGGCCAGTTAGCTTGACATCTGTTTCGGGAGGATATAATGACTGATCATTAAAGGGATCATAGTTATACGCTTAGAATAACTTAAGATAATCAAGAAGAGCCTGCATGGTTTCATCAAAGAATGTCAGTTTATTGGAGTTTAAGGTCGGAAGAAAAATTCTGTACTTCTATTTTTGATTGAGTCTAATGTAACGTTATTTCACCAGACTAAGCTACAGATCAGTTGGAGCTATCAACAGCTACAACTGTACAGCATTGAATAAGGCCATTCACTTCTAGTAGGAAGTATCCATTTAATCTCACTTCCAACTGTTTCTCCAAAACATTTTTAAAAGTTCACTTTTGGATGTGATAAATGAATCTAATTTTACTGTCTTTTCAGAATTTCTGATCACTGTAACTTGTTGTTTACAAAAAATTCTCAGTTCCTCATGATTTCTTATTGGTTATTTTAAAATAGAAGCAACTGCTAAGTATGTAGCAAAATTGAAATGTTATTTTGAAAGTTCATTTAAACAATTTAATACTGCCGGTATTAAGATGTCTACAAATTGTAAGTAACTACTGGGTTTCAGTGCCTTATTCAGCAGGAAAACTATTTTCCAAGTGCAAGTCCTTTCGCCCTTCCCATCTTGTTTAGTGGATTTTTAGTAAGCTGAAATTGCTATCAGTGTAGTTTTCATTTGGCATGTGACTAGATCTTGAATTTTTAAAAAATAATTTAATATTATATTGCACTTAAAATGATAGTTGAAAAAATCACTGTTGTAAAGTGTCTCATTGATTTTTCATCTTTTTAAATTCATTTCCTTAGGTACTAATAATTCCTGTGTTTTTTCTGATGAGAAAAGTCAAGTCACTGTTCCCAATGAGGGTTCTGCAGCTCCATCAAAGCAAGAATGCCAAGGAGACTGTTCAGATGAGCATATTCATCTAAGAAGTAGAAAAACATTTGCAAAGGAAGATAGTGTTAAACAGCCAAGACCAAGTACTCAAACTAAGCATGAAGCTGATATAGAAACATTAAATAAAACACACAGTCAAAAAAAGAATTGTCCTGTTAAGCTGAGCAATCAACACAAAAAAAACAAAATGAATAACTCCAAATTGAGACATTTAACAAAGAAGAAAACTTCGAAACCCCACTATGGGAAAATTGTCCATGGAGAAAACAAAAACTTGTTTGTGGGGGAGTTAGTGGAAAGGTCCACTTTTAGTAGATCAAGTGTGCAAATTAATAATGTGAAGGAAAGTACAATGAAAAGTAAGTCAATTTTATCTGGTACACCTGGTTTCAAGAAGGAGAGAAATATACCTTCAAACAAACAACATTATAGTTTGAGAAGTGTGTATGCAAATGTACTGTCTAAAAGACCCATCCACAATAGAAACCAAATAGAAAACCAAAATGGTATAAGTAATGATGAGAAATTCAGCCTGGTAACCCAGACTGATGGAGCATATGTTATGCCCCATAGTGAAAAATCCAGCAAAATACTGTTTCCCATAGAATATAGAAATAAGGCTACAAAATCTTGTCATTCTAAACCTAAAGCCGAAATTCAACTAAAAAAGAAAAAATGTGGAAGAAAATGTTTCAGCACCTGCCTTTCTGCTACCTCTCCACACTTTGAAGAACAATATAATGGAAAATCAAAAACTGCCAGAGATAAAGCACCCATTATTCAGTTTGAAATAATAATGCCTGAACATTATTCATCTCCATTAGAGATTGCCCAGTGCAGTGAAGATAAACTTCATAGTTCAATTTCAGGCTTAAATTGTAAAGATGACAATAGGACTGTTGTCGAAGGCAACAAATATTCAGAGCCAATGGACAGACTACTTCAATTGGAAAAGGATCCAAACCTGAATGCAACTAATCCAGCTTTTAATGCAGGTAACGAGGGGCTGATTTTAAAGAAAGAATTGGGAAATAAATCATCTTCTGCAAAATAAAAATCTCTACAATAAAAAGAGCAGCTCTGAAGATGAGAAATTTAACTTGAGGCAGCTGTGGATTTGTATTGTTTTTCTAATTGTAGATCAATGCAATTTGTATATTTAAAATGCAATATTCAATGAAATGACATTTAGAAAATACTCATTTTCAAGTAAACTGTGCAATTAATTGTGTTATAGATAACCAGCATAGTTCTGAAAGACGTAACTATATTTGTCAAACTATTGTGTCCAAACTGGGCCAAATCAAGACTACAGAAATATTTTACATCTTTGAGAACTTGCAATGCTTCCGCATTCCTAAGTAGAGAGTAAGGGTTCCTATGAGTCTTTGCATTGATTACCAGGTAATCGATGCTCAGTTTTTAATCTTTCCTCCTCATGAGATCTATGAAGGAGGCATATGGACTTGATGACTTTGGGATGACACCTCACTCCAAAGACTTCTGCAGGTATTTCCAGATTTCCAGTGAATGCATGAGGTCCTGGATTAGGGAATCTGACTGTGGCTTAGCAGGTCACAAGACCCAATGTCACCATCATCCTTACCCAAAGATGTCCCATACTTGGTGAGAGTAGAAACAAGCTGCCTCCTCTTGGTCTCCTCCAACTCATAAAGTCCCCACCTTTGAAATAAGGTTAGAGTTGTCTCCTCCAGTCAGTCCACTGTCCATGACTCTGGCAGGTTTAAGGATGTCTACAAAAATTTTCAGTTGGAGATAAACATCTTTGTGGCAGAAATTGGCAATCCACATGAGAACCCTACTCTTTTCTTCCACAGTGATGAGGGCAGCTCCCAGAGTCACTCCAAGCGGAATCTCTACAAGACTTGGAGTTTGTGTGGGTATCTGATTTTTTTCCAAGAAGGCTGGTTGTACAAGTATATATTTGCACAATTTAAGCATTTGTTAATGCATCTTGAAATGCCCTTTGATGTATACCATTTTGGTTGAGTGTTTAATGTGAACTATGCAATTCCAAATGATGGAGCTACTTCTGAACAGGTTTCACAGACTGTTAAGGACAATGCAAAGTTCGAAGTATTCCTTTACCCCTTGCTCCTTCCTTTCCTCCCTCCTCTCCCTACCACACCTTCAAAGTTCTGTATGTAAATAAACTGCTAGTTAAAGCAGCAGAATTTATGCTGCTTAGTGGTTAACTGATTGTGAAAGATGCACACAGAAAGATCTAAAAGGAACCTGAGGGACGCCTTTTTCACACAGAGGGTGGTTCGTATGTGGGATGAACTGCCAGAGGAAGTGGTAGGTGCAGATACTGTTACAACATTTAAAAGACATTGGGATAGGTACATGAATAGAAAGAGTTTGGAGGGATATGGGCGAAACGCAGACAAGGGGGTCTAGGTTAGTTTGGGAAACTTGGTCAGTGTGGGCAAGTTGGACTGAAGAGCTGTCCTG